ATGTCAGCTGTTGACAGAGGCAAGGCCAGGATAAGAACACAGAAACAGGGCCAGACGTGACCCAACCGACCGATGGCCGGCTCTACCCTAGCTGTTCTGGCGATGGCAGCCAAGACAATTTCTCTTTTGTAGATTGACTTTTTGTAGAATTTTGTAGCTTGAATTGAGTTTTTAGGTTTCTTGATGCCTGCAAACAAAAACAGCATCGCACTAGTGACAAATGACAATATCATGGAATCAGTAAAATATTGGAAACAAGCGGTGGGAATGAGAGACATAAAGAGGAAGAATAAATCAGGAGGAAGTGACAACTAGCTCCATCTTGGAGAAAGGAGTACAGGAAAGATCCAAAAGTGTCCTCTGTAATGAGGTAGAGAGTTTCTAGACAGCAACTGCATAGTTGCTGATGGTTGCTAGAGAAACGGGCCTCTCCTAACCCAGGCTGAGTGCCCAGGGGGGTGCACTATGATCCCCAGGGAGCCGGAGCCCAGGCACCCTTCACCTTCACTGCCCATTGTGGGGATGAATATCACAGCCCCCGTTCACAGCAGCAACTTGACCCCAGGATGGAGGTCCCCCTCCAAAACCGAGGGGTGTTTCTAGGCTGCGGGTGGGGAAGGGGGTGCCAGTAGCATTATTTTTCCACTTTTCCTGACTTCAGGTTCATAGCCACTGGTGGACTAGTGGCTAGGATTCCTGGCTTTCATCCATGCTGTGTGTGGTGCATGCGAAATCGCTTCACTTGTGTCTGACTCTTTTCAGTCCTATGGACTATAGCCCACCAGGCTCCTCTCTCCATGGGATTCTCCACGAAGGATACTGGAGTGGGTAGCCATGCTCTCCTCCAGGTGATCTTCCCCACCCAGGATCTAACCCGTGTCTCTTGTGACTCCTGCATTGGCAGACAGGTTCTTTACCACTAGCTCCACCTGGGAAGCCCCTTTCATTCGGGCTACACAGGTTCAGTTCTTGGGCAGAGAACTAAGAACTTACTTCAAGCCACCACTCACTGCTGTCTCCCTGAGATCAGATGGAGGTCACCCTCCAAAGCCCGGTGGTGTGCCCGAGCTGTTGCGGTGGTGGGGCCGGGGGCGGGGTTGGGATGGGGGTGGGGGCGTTGTTGCCAGCGGCACTATTTTTGTACTTTTTCTGACCCCTGGTTCACAGCCCCCTAGACTCCATTGAGTACCAGGTCTTTATCTTTGACCCGGACATCATGCAGCTTCCTGCTTTCCTTCAGGTCTGCTCTCTACCTCCGCAGGGGAAAGTTGACCAATAATTTGAGGGAAGTGTGAATGCAGATTTAAGAGCAACCTGTCCGAGGACCCCTATCCTCAAAGGCCAGCTCCTTTGGCATTACAGACTCCATGTCTCTCTGAGCCTGTAAGACTTGTGCCTTCTTCTGGAGCCCTCGTCACCCTGGCCACAATCTGGAAGATGCCCACAGGAGATGTCTGAGGTCACTGGGGTACCCCATGTACTTCCCTTTCCAAGGATTTCCACTGCTCCAATCCGCTTGTGCTAACTCTCCAAGGCCTTCATTTTACCACTAGCGCCACCTGCCTCATCCTCCAAGGATTGCTTATATGTTTCTCCAACTTTCAAAGTTATTTTTTGGTAGATGATTTTATTCAGTATAAGCTACATTGTCGGGCCCAGGGTTCAAAATTGTATCCATTCAATTTTAATTTCTATAATTTCTTTAATCATCTCTAAATGTCACTTTAAAATTTCTTTTAAATATGCGCTCAATCATTTTTAATCTTTTCTTATTGCCTACTCACTTTGCTGTCTTTTAAACACTTTTTGTATAGTGCATACTAAATATATGTTTGGATTCTAATTCTAAAATTTCTCTCTTTTTCTTTTTAGTATTGGTGATTTCTTATATTCACCTCATATGAACTTATATCCATTTGTGAAAACTTTAAATTTGAGAGATGTTTCATTTTAGAGAAGTTGCAAACAGTGGATCCTCTGCTTTTCCTTATTTATTTTGGGTCTAGATTTAAAACACAAAGGCCTGTGAGAGTATCTAGCTTGACATAATGCTGAAGCAGAAATTATACAATTTAATCTTGAATTGTGTTCCCTATGGAAAACTTATAAAAGTGATAGAAATGTTTAGTGATGAACTTAGATTCACTCAGTTTCTTAGGCAGTTAAAACCTTTAGCTGCTGAAATCCATGCTCATCTTTTAAATGTTTTATTTATTTAAAAATTAATATTTTAGAGGGAAGGTTATTTACATGTTAGTTAAAATTAAACTCATTTTAAAAGATTTTTTTTTTTTCTTAAGGAAAAGGACAATGTCTTTTTCCCAAGGTCCAATAAGTGAATACATAAAAATAAGCCCCTCTTTGGTTTGAAATTTATGACAGATTGGCAGCTGAATTATTGATCAAACTAGAATGAATAATCTATAAAACTAATCAAAGCAGTCTAGCTCAGTCACTTGGCAGATGACAAATTTGGCCTGATTAGGATTGTCGTGTTTGAGGCTGTGTGTAGGCGGGATCAGTTTGACTGTGTTGGGACAAGACAGGATGGGAAAAATTTAGATCTGAAGCCAGACGTGTCTGTTAGGTTCGGGCAGGTCCTGAGGTGGTGGCTGGGGAAGATGTGGAGAACTGATAGGGTGAAAGCTCCAAAATAGAGTCTGGCCTGGACAGTGGGATCCCATACTCCTCTTGATGGGGGCACCATTGACTCTCCTTCATGACTATGTCCAAAGAGACTTGACAGCTACTGCCGCAGAGTAGCTACTCCAAAAATATTTTAAATAAAAAAACAAAAGACTAATACAGGAGCCTAAAAACTTGGCAACAGGCACCTCATGCTCTCATAACCCCTTATAAGTGTCTCTATAATAGGGAGATACCTGCCTGGAGAAGAGACATGTAAAACCGTCCAACAACTGGTGACCCCTCACCTGAGTTCTGAGCAGATGGGTGTGATCAACTTGAACCTCTTTCTGGCCATGATAAGTAAACATTCCTAAGGTCTTCTTTTTTTTCCCCCACTATAGTGTCCTGGTAAAGACCAAGCTATGGTCTTTATGCTAAGGGCTTTTATGTATGAATTCATCTAACCCTAAGGAAAGCAACCCTAAGGAAAGCTATTATTAAGAAGAGTAAAATGAATATTAAGCTATTATATGTCTACTGACATCATTCATTATTGTTCTGGTAATGTTGCCAGGGGTCTAAGCAGCCTGAAGATGTCAATTTACCTGAGGAGAAGTCTGTCTATGTGTGATCTACACACAAGACCGTCTATGACAAGTGCCTCCTGCCCATGGCCATCACATTGCTAAAGAACCTTGACTGTAGCCTCATGTGGTACCACAGACTCATTTTGAATAAAGGCAAAAATTACCAAAGATTTGAATCCAAAATAAACCAGCAGGATGTACCTGATTATCTTTAAGTCCTTTGCTAAGTGTAGGATATAGTGAATCAAATTCTGAATAATTTGCTGTGTTAATAACTCAGTAAGGCTAATGACTGTTGAATCTGAAACTAAGTGCTGATCAGTGTTTTACCCACTGCTGTTTTCTTGCAGCCTCCTTAGAGAATGCTCAGTCATAAGCATCATCCTTGCTAGAAAAAGGGAGCAGGTGAATAAGCCATGACTTCTTCTGGGTATTAAGCACTGTATTAAGTGCTTTACATACATGTAATATGTAATTTGACTGTTGGCATAACCCTTGAACTAGATACAATTATCCCAGTTTTTCAGATGAGGAAATTGAGCAAAATGAAATTTCTTGGTGTCTTAGTCCAGGCCACTATCACAAATTAGCATAGACTAGGCGATTAAAACAACACATGTTTCTTTGTCACAGTGCTGGAGGCTGGGAAGTCTGGGATCAGGGTGCCCGCATGGTGGGACTCTGAGAGCACTGTTACTGGTTGGCAGGGGGCCATCTTCTTGCTGTGTCCTCACATAGCACAGGGCAGAGGCAGGAAGCAAATTCTTCTGTCTCTTCTTTTTATTTTATTTTGTTTATTTGGCTGTGTCAGATCGTATTTGTAGCATGTTCCCTGACCAGGGATTGAACCCCTGCACTGGAAGTGCAGAGTCATAGCCAGTGGACCACCAGGGAAGCCCCGTCTCTTCTTCCAAGGGCACTAATTCCACCAAGACGGCTTCACTTTCACGATCTCATGACCTCCCGAAGGCCTGGACACCATCACAGTGGTCATCAGAATTTCAACATGTGAATTTTGAGGGGACACAAATATCCACAGCACTTGCCAAAAGCACCTCACTGAGATAAGAGTATTTTGTTTACAGATTCCTCAGCTCAACTGAATTCAAGTGCAGATTTCCTGTCATCAGCTCTATTGTCTGGTTATTTCTATATCCAAGCAATTAGTGCAAAGATAAAGCAAAGAACCTTGCCTTTGAGCTGGTGATGACCTCAATCAAGGTTGTTTTCATCCCCCAGAGAACTGCAAAATGATGTGCCTGCTTCACCAAAGATTTCCTGAGGGGAAATAATTGGGATGTGTTATATTTAGAGAAAAAACATGTTCGTTCTTAGAAAAATATTTGATTTTCTTCTATGTGTTATAGCGCTTTGTATCTGTTCATCTTTTTAGTTTCAGAATCCATTCCAGGCTTCTCACCAAAGTTTTCTGGCTTATGATTTTTGGCTGCGATACATATTATGTGGCCATGGGAACCTGAGGCCTGCTTTTTGGAAACCAGTGTGATTTTACCATAAAAGGTGTCTTTATGGGCATAGAACTGGTGCTGGCCCGAGGAAGCTTTGAGTTCTTCCTGCAATTTTCCTCAGTCCCTCCACACCCAGCCACGAGGGCTCCTGGTTTTCATTTCATGACTGTGAATTGCAGTCTCTCTCAAATTTTTCCTTTCCCCAGTGTTTATACAGCATGACCTTGCTTTGAGAAAGGGGCTTGGATCCAGAGGGCTGGGTGACTGGCTGGGCAGATATGTGTATTAACCTGTTCTGTCTGTTCTAACCCAACAGATTAAATGTCGAGAAGGAAAAAGAACACTCATAAAGGGAGAAAAGGTAAAGAATGACATTGCATAATGTGGTTTTGAGTCTTCAAACAACTTTTTTGTTTTCTTTCCTTCCTCTTTTGACATTTTTCCTCTCTTCCTGGACTGCCTAGTTCTTTTGAGGGTTCGTCCATCAGGGCAACAGTCCTCAAACATAAGCACGCATCAGATTATCTGGAGGGAGGGCTGGGTTGAAGTGCAGTTGAACAACTGTGCTTCTAATAAATTCCCAAGTGAAGTGGTAGCTGCTGGTCCAGGGCCAGAGTCTGAGAACCACTGGTCAAGGACTGTGCTTTATTATCTGAATCTTTTCATTCATTCATTCATTCAGTGTTTAGTGAGACATTACTGAGTCTTGGACACACCATTCCCTGACAGAACCCAGTTTTAGGGACTGGTATTGTAACTGAAAGTAGGGTCTGGCTCAAAAGCCAATAAAGAGGCCAGGTTGGTAGAAAGGAAAGTTTGCTTTACTTTGGAAGCCAGCAATGAATGGGAAGGGTAGTGTGCATGCTCAGTCACTCATTCATGTCCGATTCTTTGCGACCTCACGGATTGTAGCCTGCCAGACTCCTCTGTCCATGGGACTCTCCAAGCAAGAATACTATAGTGGGCTGCCATGTCCTCCTCCAGGGAAATCTTCCCAATCCAGGGATTGAACCTACATCTCCTGCACTGCAGGAGGATTCTTTGCCATCTGAGCCCTGGGAAGGGTGGACACCTGTCCAAAGGCTGATCCCACCCCCTATCCCCCTACTGACAATTGGGGGCAAGAGCTTTCATAGCTGGGGGTGGGGGAGTCTACGTGCAGAAACAGCACAGTCAGCTCTAACAGTCATCTTGAAATTGGTCATCAGTGGTCTGATCAGTGTCATCTTGATGTTTTAGGTACAGTTAATGTTCAGTTCCAGGGTCTGTTCCCATTTCCTTGAGGCCAGTTCTTGGAATTGTGGCAGTTTATGTCATGGCTACAGTCTGGTCATAATGTAGTTCACTTTTTCTACCTGGTGGGTGTTTCAGTACCTGCAAAATAGCTCACAAGATATGACTCTGAATATTATCTATAGCCCCTGAGAAGAACTGAAAGTCCTTGATTTTGCTTACTGACTACATTATTATTATTTGGTCTCCTTTGACTTTTTCTTTGCTTCTGACTGCTTTTCTCACTTCTCTGATCACGCTTATTCTTTGGCTAAAGATTTTTTCAAAGACAGAAGGTGGGCAGAGGACATGGGGGGCAAGGACCATAGAGTCCTGCTCCATTTCGTTATTTAGTGAGTCTTTAACAAATGTTAATTTGTTGTGCAACCTACATTTCCGTGCATCTCGGCAGTCTGGGAACCAAGCATTCTTTGGTGGGACTGACTCCAGCTGCACTGATGCTCCCCATCTCCTGCATGAAAGCAGACCTCTGGCAGCTCTCAAAAAGCACTATTTGTGCCACAGGGACTTGTTACTTATGTGTTTATAAACCCGGTCAGTTCTGATCACCGCACGCCAGTCTCTCTCCGGGGTGTTTTCTCTGAGGAGCTGCTTACAAGGGCCTCACTGCCCAGCCTCCTCTGCCCCTGCCGCCGCCTTCTATGGTGTCCACAGCAGGAGCGCCAGCCCTCTGTGTCCCACACTGCCAATGTCTGGAAGTGGGAGCGGGGAGGGGAGCAGCTCCCTGACCCTGCACTCTGTCTCTTACCTGGAAACCAACCTGTACTGCCAGAGCCTTAATGTCTCAGAATAAAACCTCCCTCCATCAGAGTTTGCCTGTAGTTCTTTCCTGGGGTTTGAACTCATAGGGTCAATGGGTCGGAAACACGACACTCACACATTCTGTCTTCTCTCATCCAGTTTTTCTATCTGTTTGTAACCACGTGTGTGTGGTTTGCCACATGTGTCTGAATCATCATCGGGAGCACAACTGATTCTCATAACTACTAGATAGAAATGCAAAAAGGGACCTCAATTCCTCCTGGTCTTATTTTCCTGTACTTTTAAGGTGTTCATTTATAGCTCCATTTCTAACGTGGCAAATTTAATCTAGGATTGCCAGGGGCCTTCCTTCCTTTAAGTGTACTCTGCCTGCAGCTTCTTTCTTTTACAGCAACTTGCCGTAGGGTAGGAGAGAAGTGATCCTTTGTCCACACTAGGTTCTTGCAAGGAGCCTAAGGGTAGAGACACAGACCGAAAACCACTGCTGCCCAGGATGTTTGGTCCTAAGCCACCAAGGACCCAGGGCCAGTGTGTCTGTCTGTCCTGGCTTTCTTCTGTGTGGCCTGGGAGTGTGGGCGGGAAGCAGAGAATTGAGGCTTTCAGCATCCACAGTTGAAACAAAGCTTAGTTGTCTAGACTGGGGCTTTTAAACGGAACTTACCTCCAACTTACCTACTTTTTCTGTTCTTCCACAATGACTCTGGGTGTCGTTGGGTTTTAAAACTATAAAACACATGCTGATTATTATAACATGCATGGTTTAATGGTGGCAGTTTAGTCTCTAAATCATGTCCGACTCTTGTGACCCCATGGACTGTAGCCTGCCAGACTCCTCTGTCCATGGGATTTCCCAGGCAAGAATATTGGAGTGGGTTGCCATTTCCTTCTCCAGGGGATCTTCTCAACCCAGGGACTAAACTCGCATCTCCTTCATTGTAGACGGATTCTTTACCACTGAGCCACCAGGGAAGCCTATGACATGTGTAAATCCTCTAATTATTCAGAAGTGAGATGACAACCCTATGAATATCTGTTATTGCAAACAGATGTCAAATTGATCGAAGTACATTTCATCTGCTTCCTGGAAACACTGCACAGTTTCTGATCATCCTAACACAGTTCAGTTCAGTTCAATTCAGTCATTCAGTCATGTCTGACTCTTTTCGACCCCATGAATCACAGCACGCCAGGTCTCCCTGTCCATTACAAACTCCCGGAGTTTACTCAAACTCATGCCCATCGAGTTGGTGATGCCATCCAACCATCTCATCCTCTGTTGTCCCCTTCTCCTCCTGCCCCCAATCCCTCCCAGCATCAGGGTCTTTTCCAATGAGTCAACTCTTCGCATGAGGTGGCCAAAGTATTGGAGTTTCAGCTTCAGCATCAGTCCTTCCAATGAACACCCAGGAC